CCCTCCAATGGCCGCCGCGGCTGGCGCGCTGCGGCCGGTGCACCGCGCTGATCCGATGGCAGGAGCCAGGAGCCAGGTGCTTTTCCTGGTCTCCCATGGGGTGCAGGGCCCAAGCACCTGGGCCATCCTCCACTGCACTCCCTGGCCACAGCAGAGAGCTGGCCTGGAAGAGGGGCAACCGGAACAGAATCCGGTGCCCCAACTGGGACTAGAACCCGGTGTGCCGGCGCCGCCGCTAGGCGGAGGATTAGCCTAGTGAGCCGCGGCGCCGGCTGAAGCGTATTTTTAAAGATTCTTTTATTTACTCATTTGAAAGGCAGAGTGAAGAGAGAGAGAGAGAGAAAGAGAGAGAGAGAGATGAGAGAGCGAGCTCTTCCACCTGCTGGTTCACTCTAAATGGCTGCAACATAAAGGGCTAGGCCAAGTTCTAGGAATTCCATCCTGGTCTCCCACATGGGTGGCAAAGGTCCAAGTACTTTGTCATCTTCTGCTGCCTGACCCAGTGCTTTAGCGGGGAGATGGATCAGAAATGGAGCAGCTAGGATTCTAACCAGTGCCAATTTGGGATGCTGGCATGGAAAGTGGTGACTTGACCCACTGTACCACAATGCTGGCCCCTAAAGTGGCTTTTAAAAGTAAAACATTTTTTTCTAAAGCGCATTTTGCTAAGTTTTATATAATTTGTTTATTATATTGACATCTAACAATAAGATAAACCCCCACACCTTCCTTAGATTCTTGATTTTTTTTTTAAAGATTTATTTATTTATTTGAAAGGGTTACACAGAGAGAGGAGAGGTAGAAAGAGTGGTGTGGGTGTTTAGCCTTAGGGCATAATCTTAACTATTTATAATATTGTATGCAAGTTTGAAACATTCTTCAAATTTAGACCAAATGCCAAGAAGGATGTAAAAGAATCTTAAATTTTTTAAAAAAACTCAAGATTTTGGGGCCGACGCTGTGGCGCAATGGGTTAATGCCCTGGCCTGAAGTGCCAGCATCTCATATGGGCACCACTTCCTATCTAGCTCTCTGCTAGGGCCTAGGAAAGCAGTAGTAGATGGCTCAAGCCCTTGGGTCCCTGCACCCACATGGGAAACCCGGAATAAGCTCCTTGCTCTTGGCTTCAGATCAGCGCAGCTCCAGCCATTGTGGCCAATTGGGGAGTGAACCATGGGATGGAAGTCTCTCTCTCTGCCTCTCCTCTGTGTGTAACTCTGACTTTAAATAAATAAATAAACCTTTAAAAAAAAAACCCTCAAGAATCTAAGGAGGGTGTGGGTGTTTAGCTTAATGGTTAAGATGCCAACATCCACATCTGAATGCCTGGGTTCAATTCTTTCTTTCTTTCTTTCTTTTTTTTTTTTTTTTTTTTTTTGACAGGCAGAGTGGACAGTGAGAGAGAGAGACAGAGAGAAAGGTCTTCCTTTGCCGTTGGTTCACCCTCCAATGGCCGCCGCGGCCGGCGCACCGCGCTGATTCGATGGCAGGAGCCAGGAGCCAGGTGCTTTTCCTGGTCTCCCATGGGGTGCAGGGCCCAAGCACCTGGGCCATCCTCCACTGCACTCCCGGGCCACAGCAGAGAGCTGGCCTGGAAGAGGGGCAACCGGGACAGAATCCGGCACCCCGACCGGGACTAGAACCCAGTGTGCCGGCGCCGCTAGGCGGAGGATTAGCCCCTAGTGAGCCGCGGCGGCGGCCTAACCTGGGTTCAATTCTTGCTTCAGCCTCCTGACTGCAGCCTCCCATGTAGACTTGGATTGAGTTCCAGATTCCTGGCTTTAGCCTGGCCCAGCCCCAACTGTTGTGAGCATTTGGGGAATGAACCAGCAGATGCAAGTGCTCTCTCTCTCTCTCTTCCAAAAATAAGCTAAAGATGCTTCCATAAAAGACTAGATGAAAATGACCACTTAGGGGCTGGTGCTGTGGCATGTAAAGCTGCTGCCTGCAGTGTTGGCATCCCACATGGGTGCCGGTTCGAAACCTGGCTGCTCCACTTCTGATCCAGCTCTCTGCTGTGGCCTGGGAAAGCAGTAGAAGATGGCCAAGTCCTTGGGCCCTGCACCCATGTGGAAGATCCGGCTCCTAGCTTCAGATCAGCACAGCTCCAGCTGTTGCGGCCAATTGGGGAGTGAGCCAGCAGATGTAAGACCTCTCTCTCTCTCTCTGCCTCTCCTCCCTCTGTGTAACTCTGACTTTCAAATAAATAAATAAATCTTTAAAAAAAAGAAAATGACCATTTAATTTGAAAAGGTAAGACTACAAAGGAGGACTATCAGATTTACAAAATCTATAGAATTCTATAAAAATGGAAGTGATAAGCAAACTCCAGAAGCATTCCACCTCTGTGAGTGGGCATTCTCCTTGGGTGCTTCCAGAACACTTTGCTCAGAGACTTTCCCTGCCTTCCAGCTACAGCATCATGCTGTCCAGCCTGTCTTTCCCATTAGACTGTGACTTCCTCAAGGGTAGGCAGCTTGATGTTTGGATCTCCTGTGACAGCACAGAGCCTAGTTCAAGATTTGTACTGAATCGAAGTTCAGTGAGCAAATGAGTGAGTGAAGGGCTGTGGTGAACAAACAGCACTGAACGGAGGGTATGCCCCATGGCAAAGCAGGCACAACAAAAGTGCTATTTCACAACCAGTGCAAATAGATGCCACTCGTCATTCTCAAGGATACGTGCAGGCTAAAAAAAGACCTTGTTCAGAAAAGATTTTAATTAGCTAATGGGTGATGGCTTCCTCAAAGGATTATTTGAAGGAAACTATGAACAGAAAAGATAAATTATGTCATTAACATACAAGGGAACTTCAAAAAGTCCATTGCAAAATGTGTATTATTATTATTATTTTTTTTGACAGGCAGAGTGGACAGTGAGAGAGAGAGACAGAGAGAAAGATCTTCCTTTGCTGTTGGTGCACCCTCCAATGGCCGCTGCGGCCAGCACAACACGCTGATCCAATGGCAGGAGCCAGGTACTTATCCTGGTCTCCCATGGGGTGCAGGGCCCAAGTACTTGGGCCATCCTCCACTGCACTCCCTGGCCACATCAGAGAGCTGGCCTGGAAGAGGGGCAACCAGGACAGAATCCGGCGCCCCAACCGGGACTAGAACCCGGTGTGCCGGTGGCGCAGGCAGAGGATTAGCCTATTGAACCACGGCGCTGGCCAAAATGTGCATTATTTAACAACCATGCACGGATGTAAAATTTTTTTGCACCAAAATAAACTAATCTTTAAACTCTATTTTTTCCATGCATTAAAAATATTTATTTATTTGAAAGGCAAAGTGATGAGACAGAGAGTCAGAGAGAGAGAGAGAGAGAGAGAGAGAGAGAGACTTGTTTCCCCAAATGCTCAACAGCATAACCAGGGCTAGGTCAGGCTGAAGCCAGAGTTAGGGACTCCATTTGGGTTTCCCACATGAGTGTCAGGAATCCAAGCATTTGAGCCATCACCAGCTGCCTTCCATGATACACATTAGCAGGCAGCTGGACCAGGACTCCAACCAGCTCTTTCATATGGGATGTGAGGGTCCCAGGTGGCTGCTTTACCCACTGAGCAACAATGTTTGTCTGTTCTACAAACTTTTTGAAGGGTCCAGAGCACTGAACAATAGTGATCATGCTGGGTATGCAGATCATGCTGGTATGCTGGGTACGTGCTCAATGTTGGCCTTGCCTCTTTCTTACTGGTTAAAGGGAAATAGTGCTGGGTCAGGGTGGGGGGTAGATGGAGGGTACAGTTTTCTGGCAGCACACTGGGCTGCTCTGGAAAGGCTGCGTTATGAGCTGAGAAGGCGGCTTTGCAGGGTGTGGGCTGAGAGGATGCCCGCCCTGAGATGACTGAGGATCCGGGAGAGTTGGGAAGACCGGGTGGTGCGTGGAGCCACAAGCAGAGCACCCAGGCTATGCATAGAGGTGCTCCATTTACTTCCACAGCAGCCTCAGCCTGAACCCCAGGGAGAAAGTCCTCCTCAATAGGCTTCAAATCTTCCATGTTCTGACCTCGATCCTTGCCATGGGGTCTTAGTCTTGGACTGCTAATGGTTTTGCTTGTTTTACTGCTTTCAGAGATGATGGTCCTTACATAGAGATGGCCTTTACCATACTGCCAGCTCCTCAAGGTGACAGTGGTCATGAAATCATGTTTACTCTCCGCTGTTCAATGACATTCACCTCAGACTGATGCCTTCCCTTCTTCCCACCTCCCTGGGGTCCTCAGCCTCCACTCTATGGCCCCCTCCTTAGGCCCTGTGCAAGCCCCTCCCCTGTATTCAACATCTGCCTCACCACTTACATCATCAAAGCACCTCACAACAAAATCAACCATTCCTCAGTGGACCTTCAACTGTAGCAACTTGTATTCTTTTTCATGTTTATTTATTTGTTTTTATCTATTGAAAGGAGAGAGGGGGGAGGTTGGGAAGGGAGGAGGGAGAGGGAGGGAGAGAGAGAGAGAGAGAGCGCTCAAACTCCATTAGGATCTCCTAAGTGAATGGAAGGGGCCCAAGTGTTTGGGCCATTACTTGCTGCCCCCCCCCCCCAATGCATTAGGAGGAAGCTGGATTGGAAGCAGAGGAGCTAGGACTGAAATCACTAGTCCAATATGGGATGCAGGCATCCCAAGTGTAACTGGGTACAGGGTGATATAAAAATTACAAAAGTTGGTTCTTGCCATGATCAAATATAAGGTGGTAACTTCCCACAGTATATAGCCATATTCTCATTAATTCTAGCCAAATGATGTTTCTCAGGCCACTTTTATAAATCTAATGACTTAGCTTCAAGGCTTAGTCATTGGGTTTCCATTTTGATCATGTCCTGAGAACACTTTAATCCTTATCTCCATTTCTCCTACAGGCAGCCAGAGCAGAGCAATCCTGCAGAGAAAGGGTTAACCTCTCCACCTAGCAGCCTTCTCAAGGACTGAGCAGCAATTCTATAACAAGCTTGGCTGACCAGATATCTTATCCAAATAACGTTTTGTAGCTACTTACTTGTATAGAATATCCTGCTATGTCCTCTTCATGATAAAGTCAAGCCAAAAACCAAGTTTCCCAGGGAACTGTGCTGTTGTCCGAGAGTCCGAGATACTGTTATCAAATCGACTTCAGCATTGCTGTGGCAGCTCAGTCTCCTCAAGAAACAAAGACCATCCTCACTAAGCAGGACAGTAGCTTTTGAGACTGAGAAGTGTTACCTCTTCATGCACGAATACATTAGCTCTTCAGTTCCTTTACCTTCAAACCTGCGCTCAGTATCAAGATTCAGCACCAGGGACAGGGACCAAGGTTTTGGTAACACAAGCGGTGACTTGACCCAATCATCCTCCCCGCTATTTGTGTTCTCCCCAAATTCCCATCTACACATTAACCAATGTGGTGGAATGAGAAGGCCATGTCAAGATGGTTGCTGGCAAGTGAGTGTCAGTTACTCAGGAATGGCTTGGGAAACCACCTGGCAATGGAGTCTGCCTGGCAACAGGTTGTGATTGGTTAGGGCATAAACCGCCCCTTGACCGGAATGACTGCCTCTGCTACATAAGCTGCTATACCAACTGAAATAAACGAGTCTGTGGGCTGCTAGCCTCAGGACCGCTTTCACCCGGCTCCCAGGGTCCGTGTGGTGACTGCACCTCTTGCCCCCACCACGATCCTCTTCTCAGAAGGAATCCAGAACAACAAACCAAAGCTGTTATTTGTATCACAATGGCATTGTTGGCTTTAAATGAGAATGTGCCACAGTAGTCTTCAAGTTGTGTCTTGGGGGAGGGAGTGAGCATTTGATGTAGTGGTTAAGACCCTTTTGAAATCCTACATCCCCTCCTGGAGTTTGATTGGTTTGATTTCTAGCTCCTCTCTTGATTTCAGCTTTCTGCTAAAGCATACTCTGGGAGGAAATAGGTTATGGCTCAAGTACTTGAGTCCCTGCCACTCACATGAGTCCTGGACTGAATTCCTGTCTCCTGGCCTCAGCCTGGCCCAGAACCGGCTGTATTTAGGGGGAATGAACCAGCATATGGAAGCTCTGTCTATCTATCTGACTGGTTGGCTTTCTCTTACCCTCTCTCTTTCTCTCTGCCTTGCAAATAAATAAAATTTTTAAAATATAAGTAAATAGAAGCAATAGTGATATGTTTAAATCATGTCCTTTGAAGCCACATTTAAACAATAGTTAAGTTTACAGGAATTCAATGTATACATGTTATCTTCCATTGTACCTTAATGTCCTTATGGATCCTGTTCTGTTTTTTACTCTCCAGGTGCCCAGCATCTTACCTCATACATGGATAATAGATAGTTGCTGAGCGGAAAAATGTTCTCTGCTTGACCAATATGCAGTCAGCAGCCTCTCCCAAGCCTGTTTTTCTCTTTAAGATTTATTCATTCATTTATTTGAAAGGCAGAGTTTCAGTGAGACAGAGAGATCTTCCATCCCCTGGTTCTGCCCCTAAATGGTCACAAAGGCCAGTGCCAGGCTAGGCTAAGGCCAGGAGTCTGGAACTCCATCCAGGTCTCCCATGGGAGTGGTAGGGACCCAAGCACTTGGGCCATCTTCTGCTGCTCTCCCAGGTGCATTAGCAGGAAGCTTACTCAGAAATGAAGCAGCTTGGGCTCAAACTGATGCTCATTTGGGATGCGGTGTCACAGCAAGGTTTAAATCCTAGTGCCACAATGCCAACCCCACCACTGAGCCTCTTTTTGATTAGGCCTCCTCTTTGGGCAAAATCTTTGTCTTGCCTAGCATACTTGTAGCAAGAATCTGCTCACCCTTGACATCTAATCACGCTGGCTGGCCTTCAGCAGGAAGCCTGTGAAGTCAGATGAACAGGAGTCCCCTACCCTTGAACTCCTCTTGGCAATTTTGTGCTTCCTGATCCTCTTCCTGTGGTTGCTGCCTGGAAATCCCCATATTCAGAGTTGAGCCCAATCTCTCATCCATTGACACCTGTTGTAAAAGTCCTGAATAAAAGGCCTTGCATAATTTTTAGTGGTAAATACCTGAATGCATGAACAGGAGTCAAAATGAGGGATAACAGTTTGATACCACTTCAACAATGACAGAGCAATGTGCACAGCTGGCTACAACTAATGCTTGATGGGGAGGAATCTGACTTACTCTCATGGGCTTAGGAAGAGGCAAATTTACTACAAAACCTTGATTTCAATTTCCCTTCTCCTCCCTCTATAGCTATCTGGTCAACCGCAGGCCAGGAGGTTTATTTGTATGCAGCAGCAGATTGAGAGAGGATTCTGGGTTGGGGTCATCAGGCTTGATGCTGGCAGTTAATAAGGCTGTCAGCTTGTGTCAGTTTTGTTTAAATGCCTATTTCTCTGAGGTACACACTGAAAATGATAGAAGGTGACTTTAATTAGGGTCCCAAGGTGAAACGCTAGTTTGATGCTTAGAAGAATTTACTGCTGTAGACATGAGTCTCTACCACCCACCTTCTTCATTTTCTTTCATGTAATTCAAGGCCAAGTGACACATGAGAGAAATTCATGGAAATAATATTACATTTGGAAATAGAGGAATATTTTGAAGTAAATATTTGTGTCTGTACTACTTGGATTGAAAAACTTCCCACATAATTAGCCCAATTTTCTGGTGTTGTTTAATTGGGACCCAGGAAGGGGATAGCATGTATTTATGTGTATTTCAAATGCACAAGAAATTTTTTATCCAAATTAGTTAACTGGAGGGTAATACAAAAACTGAGAACAGGGTTAGCCATAGTGGTACCTGAATTAAACCTTATGGACAGCAATATCTAATAAAGTGATGTGTCTATAACAAGATTCTTTTCCTTAATTTTTAAAAATTTATTTGAAGGAGACAGAGAAATTCTTCTATCCTCTAGTCTGCCCCCGAAATGCCCACAACAGCTGAAGCTGAGCCAAGTTGAAGTCAGGAGCCAGAAACTTAGGGGTGACAGGGACCCAACTATTTGAACCATCACCTTTTGCCTCACAGGGTGCACATTAGCAGGAAGCTGGAATCAGAAACAGAGCCAGGACTCAAACTCAGGTACTCCAATATGGGATGCAAGCATCCAAAGTGATGTATTAACCACTGTGCCAAATGCCCACCCTTACAATGAAATTCTTAAATCTCCAGAGCAGAGAACAAATGTTGTACTATAAGAGAGTACTTCAAAAATTCATGGATAATGTTATTAAAAGATAAGTTATTTTGGTGCAAAGAATGTTTAAATCTGTTCAGTTTTTTTCATAATACACATTTTTCCATAGACTTTTTGAAGATCCTTCATATGCATGGATTCTAACTTCTTTTTGCACCAAAATAAAATTATATTTTAAAGATTTATTTATATGAAAGGCAGAGTTAGAGAGGGTTAGAGAGAGCTTCCATCTGCTGGTTCACTCACCAAATGGCTGCAGCAGCCAGGTCGAGGCCAGGCCAAGTTCAGGAGCCAGGAATTCCATCTGGGTCCCTCTCATGGGTGGCAGGAGCCCATGCACTTCAGCCAACTTCTGCAGCTGTCCCAAGTTCATAAGCAGGAAGCTGGATGGGAAGTGGAGCAGCCAGGACTCAGCCACTGCTCTTCTATGGGATGCTAGACTTGCAAATGGCAGCTTAACCCACTGTGCCATGACACCAGCCCCAAATTTATCTTTTAATTACACTTTCCATGAGCTCCTCAGGTCAGTGAGAGGCATGACTAGTGATCAGTCAGGCTTTGTGAAATGACTGCTTGGGAAGGAGTAGTAGGGTCCATCACCCCTTCTGGCGTCCTGAGGCATGGGGCTGTGCCCCCTCCACCCCCGCACTGCCAATTCACTAGGGCCAGGCTTCCCCCCACTCTCACCTTTTCCTCTTCTTCTACTTCAGTCTTTTGCTCTTTGAATGGAGGTTGATACTAAACCCAGAAGCACTATCTAAATGTGTTCAAAGACAAATTCATGACCAACATCAGACCTGTTTCTCAATGCATTCTTAAAGTTAGTTTTGATGGGCGAGGGGGAAACTTGTACCCAGAAAACACTTATAAGAGTCTGGGGTTGATCACAGTCCCCAATGACACAATTCCAAATATTGACATCCCCAAAGATCCAGTTGCAATATGGAATGATTAAAATGCCAAATGTTGAAATTCTGATAGCTAAAATTAAAAAATTACAGTTTTGGGAGCCATCATTGTGGCACAGTGAGTTAAGCCACTGCCTGTAATGCTGGCATCCCATATGGGCACCAGTTTGAGTTCTGGCTGCTCTATTTCTTATCCATCTCCCTGTTAATGCACCTGGGAAAGCAGCAGAAGATGGCTCAAGTCCCTGGGCCCCTGCCACCCAAGTGGGAGACCCAGATAGAGTTATAGGTTCCTGGCTTCCACCTGGCCTAGCCCTGGCTATTATGGCCATTTGGGGAGTGAATCAGTTAGTGAAAAATATATCTCTCTCTGTCTCTCTCTCTCTGGAACTCTGCCTTTCAAATAAATAAATACATACATACATCTTTAAAAACAATCCTACAATTTCCATGGGGAATAAGGGCTAATATTTGGGATAAAATCTTTCAGGATGATGACTGGCACCACAGCAATTTATCTGAGTAAATTTTTATTATGTACTTTGTCATAAAGACAAAAATCTTAACAAAAGAAGTCACTTAAAATGTATTCTTCAACTGACATGAGAAACTTAAATCACTATGTTTGTATTTACGATGCACACTGATGTGAATTTATGGGAATAGAAAATCTGAAGAAAATGAAGTAGGTAATTTATGAAAGCATTTTACTGCTGTAACGTTAATGTGCAGGCCAGTTCTTATATTTTACAACCCTTTTGCAACCTGCAATTCTTCTTTATGGGTTCATCATGGATTGTGATGATGTATTTATCTTTGTGATGGCATTAGTCTGACCCTTTTCTTTCCTCTGAACTATAGTCTCCATGAAGGAGGATGCCTCATCTTTGCTCATTTCTTCATTTTATTCCTAATAACAAATCCTGACTTTCTGGTAGAATCTCGAATGAATATTTTATATGTGGATTTGAATAGATTTTTTTGGTAATGTGTACATTACTAACATGTCAGCACTATGCTATGTATTTTATTTTTGTATCATTTCCAGTACTGGAAGTATAAATTGTTTAAGGATTTCTAGTTCGTTTTATGAATTTTTTGCAAATTAGATTTTTAAAAATATTTATTTATTTAGACAGGCAGAGTGGACAGTGAGAGAGAGACAGAGAGAAAGGTCTTCCTTTTCCGTTGGTTCACCCTCCAATGGCTGCTGCGGCTGGCGCACTGCGCTGATCTGAAGCCAGGAGTCAGGTGCTTCTCCTGGTCTCCCATGCAGGTGCAGGGCCCAAGGACTTGGGCCATCCTCCACTGCACTCCTGGGCCACAGCAGAGAGCTGGACTGGAAGAGGGACAACCGGGACAGAATCTGGTGCCCTGACCGGGACTAGAACCTGGTGTGCCGGCGCCATAGGCGGAGGATTAGCCTAGTGAGCCGAGGCACCCGCCAGCAAATTAGATTTTAAGAAACAGCATTATCATGACACTGACTTGGGTGTAATTTTTGTGCATCTACATAAGGATGTTGAGACTTCCTCAATAAATGAAAAGATGTCTTTTTGTACATCTGCACTTGGGAAAGATAAGACTTTTCCAGTTCTCAGTTCTTTGGGAACTGCATATGTAGTGGGAACTCAAGGCAAATTTTTTTTAAAAAAAAAGATAATTTTTTTGAAAGAAGAGTTAGAGAAAGAGAAAGAGACAGGAGAGATCTTCCACATGCTGGTTCACTCTCTAAATGGCCACAACAACCAGGCGAAAGCCAGGAGCCTGGAGCTTCTTCTGGGTATCCTAATTGGGTGGCAAGGGCCCAAACACTCAGGCTATCTTGTGCTGCTTTCCCAGTCTCATTAGCAGCAAACTGGTTTGGAAATGGAGCAACTGGGATACAAACTGGTACCCATATGGAATACTGGCATCACAGGCAGCTACACCACTACACCACAATATTTGTCCAGTTAATGGCAATTTTTGATCAGTTTTCTCAAAAGACATACATTTTCTGTTGTGGTATTTCAAATGATCACAAAATTATTTTTTTTTAAATTAAAAAAATTTATTTATTTGAAAGAGTTATGCAGAGGCAGAGAGAGAGAGAGAGAGAGAGAGAGAGAGAGAGGTCTTTTTTTTTTTTTTAATTTTTGACAGGCAGAGTTAGACAGTGAGAGAGAGAGACAGAGAGAAAGGTCTTCCTTTTCTGTTGGTTCACCCCCCAATGGCCGCTGCGGCCAGCGCACTGTGCTGATCCGAAGCCAGAAGCCAGAAGCCAGGTGCTTCCTCCTGGTCTCCCATGTGGGTGCAGGGCCCAAGGACTTGGGCCATCCTCCACTGCACTCCCGGGCCACAGCAGAGAGCTGGATTGGAAGAGGGGCAGCTGGGACAGGATCCGGCGCCCCGACCAGGACTAGAACCTCGTGTGCTGGCACCACAGGCGGAGGATTAACCAAGTGAGCCACAGCACTGGCCGAGAGAGAGGTCTTCCATCTGCTGTTTACTTCCCAAATGGCTGCAACGGCCGGAGCTGGACTGATCTGAAACCAGGAGCTTCTTCTGGGTCTCCCCTGCAGGTACAAGGGCCCAAGGATTTGCGCCATCTTCTACTGCTCTCCCAGGCCATAGCAAAGAACTGGATTGGAAGTGGAGTAGCCAGGACTCAAACCGGCACCCATATGGAATGCCGGCACTGCTGTGGCGGCTTTACTCACTACGTTACAACACCGGCCCCAGATGATCACAATTATAAAGTTGGATGCAGGCTGGCGCTGCGGCTCACTAGGCTAATCCTCTGCCTTGCGGCGCCAGCACACTGGGTTCTAGTCCCGGTCAGGGCGCCGGATTCTGTCCTGGTTGCCCCTCTTCCAGGCCAGCTCTCTGCTATGGCCAGGGAGTGCAGTGGAGGATGGCCCAAGTCCTTGGGCCCTGTACCCCATGGGAGACCAGGAGAAGCACCTGGCTCCTGGCTTCGGATCAGCACGATGCGCCGGCCGCTGCGGCCATTGGAGGGTGAACCAACGGAAAAGGAAGACCTTTCTCTCTGTCTCTCTCTCACTGTCCACTCTGCCTGTCAAAAAAATAAAAAATAAAAATAAATAAAGCTGGGTGCACAAAATCACCAACCATTGTGATATGCATTTATACATTTCACTTTTGACCTGATTGTGAATATTTTTATATGCTCATTAATACACTATACACACATGACTTTTGTTAGTATACTTCAGTGATTATTCCTGCAAAATTGTGTTTCCATTGATTATTTTACTTTGTAAAATGGCCTGCGAAGTAAAATGCTGTTTTTGTTTGTCACATAATGCCACCCTTTGCCCTTAAAAACAATACATCCTTACATGAAACACACCATTTAAAAATTTCAAATGTACAGGATCCGTGCTGCGGCATAGTAGGCTAAGTTTCTGCCTGCAGCGCCAACATCCCATATGGGTGCCAGTTTGTGTCCCGGCTGCTCCTCTTCTAATCCAGCTTTCTGCATATACCCTGGGAAAGCAGTAGAAGGTGGCCCAAGTGCTCTGACCCTTCCAACCATGTCGAACACCTGGAAGAAGGTCCTGGCTCTTAGCTTCAGATCAGCTCAGCCATTTGTGGAATGAACAAGCAGATGGAAGACCTCTTGTAACTCTGCCTCTCAAATAAATAAAATATTTTTAAAAGATTTCAACTGCACTAAAGATTAATTTTTATTTGATTACATTGCTTTCAAAATTAGTCCTAAGAGGGTCTTTATGCACATAAACGTGTGAATTTACTTAAATACAAATATGTAAATGTCTGCTAGTCTTTCCGCCATCATTTCCCCCGTCTCTTGCTTTCCTTGTCTGCCTATTTTGAATTCTTTCTTGCTACTGAGTGGAATGTATGTATAATCGTCATCTAAAACTTTCCCGTACCAAAGCATGATTTCAATAAAATAAGCATATTTATGAAAATGTGATGACAATGAGTATTAGCACTTCCAAACAATTGCAAGTACAAATGAGTTCTGATATGCTCAGGATAAAATTATGCACCTTGAATAAAATCTCCCAGAGGACTCAGAATGGGTCTTTCTAGACTTGAGCTACTGATGTGGATTCTAGAAAAAAAAGGCAGCAGATTCCATCCTTTCTCAATCCAAGGGGAACCTCAGAGACTAATGCTGGGGTCTGCACAAGTCCAGCCTCCAAACTGTTCTTCCCCTTCTTTTCAGGGCCTACAGTTTCATTGTTCCTGGTTCTCCAAGGCGTCCATGCTCAGCTACTGTTATGCATTGTACAGTATATTCCATAGAATGAGACTGCTCTAAAAATTGCCTTCGGAACCT